TGGAACCACAGACTGTAGCTAAAAGAAGTATGGAGGCACCAGACTCCAACATCTTTTTTTTTTTTTGGAAAAGCCTTCAGCTGATCCAAAATGCTGCAGCAAGAGTCCTGACAGGGACTAGAAAGAGAGAGCAGATTTCTCCTGTTTTGGCTTCCTGTTAAATCCAGAATTCAAAATCCTGCTCCTCACATACAAGGTCTTAAATAATCAGGCCCCATCTTATCTTAATGACCTTGTAGGACCATATCACCCTATTAGAGCACTTCGCTCCGCTCTGCAGGCCTACTTGTTGTTCCTAGAGTATTTAAAAGTAGAATGGGAGGCAGAGCCTTCAGTTTTCAGGCCCCTCTTCTGTGGAACCAGCTTCCAGTTTGGATTCAGGAGACAGACACTATCTCTACTTTCAAGATTAGGCTTCAAACTTTCCTTTTTGCTAAAGCATATAGTTAGGGCTGGACCAGGTGACCCTGAATCCTCCCTTAGTTATGCTGCAATAGACGTAGGCTGCCGGGGGATTCCCATGATGCATTGAGTTTTTCCTTTCCAGTCACCTTTCTCACTCACTATGTGTTAACAGACCTCTCTGCATTGAATCATATCTGTTATTAACCTCTGTCTCTCTTCCACAGCATGTCTTTATCCTGTCTTCCTTCTCTCACCCCAACCAATCACAGCAGATGGCCCCGCCCCTCCCTGAGCCTGGTTCTGCCGGAGGTTTCTTCCTGTTAAAAGGGAGTTTTTCCTTCCCACTGTCGCCAAAGTGCTTGCTCATAGGGCGTCATATGATTGTTGGGTTTGTCTCTGTTTTCTCTGTATTATTGCTGCACCTTTACCACACAATAATATAAAAGTGCCTTGAGGTCAATGTTGTTGTGATTATGCAAATAAAATTCCATCTTAAAAATGGTCCACAAAAACAAAAATCGAACATATCTGTGTGTCTGTGTTTCCTCTGTGCGGTGCTCTTGGACCTGTGTGGCTCGACTCTGAGCTCTGGGCTGCTGATTTCTATCTGCTGTGAGTGAGCTGGGAGAGACTCGAGGAGTGAGAAATGATGAAGAACGTGAACTCTTCATCAGGGTCCTCCCTCGCTCTGGTGTTTGAAGTCTGCCATGTGATGAGCTGCCGTCTGAGCCTCGGGCTGCTTTGATGTGTCCCTCTGCAGCGACTTTGCGTCTCCAGTCTGTCACTGAGAGCTGAAAGAAGCAACTTGACAGAAATATGAGAGGAAACAGGATGGATCTGTTCAGAGAAAGACTCCTGATCATGATGTGATTGATACATGCTTCAGATTAATCTGACACAGAGAAAACGTCTGGTTCTTGGGATGGTTATTTACCAAGATTTCAGGTTCATTTTAAGACCAACTCAGAACTCCTCCAGACCCTGATCTGAGCTCAGCGTGAGACAGCTTGGTCTGTGGAGAACCCTTCGCAGGAGAACAGAGGTAAAACATGAACAGCCTGCACGTTCATTCAGGCGAGCAGCGTGGCCAACAAACCAGGTGAGGAGCAACACCTGTGAAACAGTTCAGAGGTCAAACACGAGCAGTGAAAGGGACATGGATGGAAAGTTTGAGACAGAACCAGAGGAACGTGGAGCACTGGTGGTTAATAAAACAAAGGAGCCTGACAGGCTGATCAGGCACAGGTGATATGAGTGTGGGCGGGGCATACAATTCCAGGTATTCAAATAAAATCTGCATTTCTGCTCTGATTTATTTCTTGGTAAAATCCAACTGTCTCTCCAACAGGTCGAGCACCGATGCTCCTGCCAGCCACAGTCTGCTGGTAAATGTCACATAGGGGGCGCTATTTCCACTCCTTCAGCCTGCACGTGGCTTTGCAACCGCACTCCATGAACAGACTCATACCAGCAAACATGAACATGGAAACTCTTTGTTCTTGGACTGAGCTGCAGAGAGTCCGTCTGAGCTCCTCCTGCTCCATGTTCCTGTTCCTGACCGCCGTCCGTCCCGAGGTGTACGACGAGGAGGACACAAAGGTCCTCAACAGCATCGCTCCTTTCTCCTCCAAGTAAACACGCCTACTTTTATGAAGACATGTGGGCGTGGCTATATGGAGACTGGATAAATGGCCTGATTTCCAGTGATGGGAATAACGGCGTTACTAACAGCCTTACTTTTTTCAGTAACGAGTAATCTAACTTATTACTATTTCTGTCGTTACAACGCCGTTACCATTACTAACAAAGTCCGTTACTATTTTTCAACAATCAGACGTTGAAGCTGTGTTCAGTTTACAGCATCTTATATCAGCTGCAGGAAGTAGCTGTAAGTAATCTGGACGCTACAGCTTTAAGCAGCTGTGCTCCCGCCGACGGTGATCACGATCTCTGTCTGGCACAACAGCTGGAGCTCAGGGGGCAAAACAATGGCATGAGTGCTGCTGTTTGACTGAGGAAGAGTAAAGTAGTCGTGGTCAATCACATGACCACTTACAGACAAAGCAACAAGGTGACATATACCAGTTTATAAACTGTGCTGATAGGCCAGTAAAACCAGAGTGATGATAAACAAGATATACGCGTGTTCTTCCTCAATAGTTTCGTCACGTCTGTCTAAGGACAGCAGCGAGACCTCTCTGCTTATGAGCAAAAACAACAGCAAACCAAAAAAAACCAGCCCTTTCGTTGTGGTGGAAAATTGTACCATGTCGACCAAATTTGGTTGTTTAGGAAGAGGAGGAAGTGTTAGGAGTGACGGCGAGAGAGAGAGAGAGAGTTTTGAGATGTGAGAGATTTGTGAGGTTTAGCGTGTTTGCAGTGTGTAGGTAGTGTGTAGTGTTGTGGATAGTTTTGTGTTGTGTGTCAGAACAATGAGGCGACTGCTGTCTCCAGGTAGAAACAGGAGTGACACACCTGCTGCTGTCAGACCTGCAGGTATCAGGCTGTGATGTTTCCTTTATAGTGGACAGAAATATTTGCAGTGGCACAAATAATTTGTGGCATCTTATTGAAGACCAGCTGATTGTTGTGTAAACAGTTTGAAATGGTTAATTCATCAGAGATCAGTTGTGTTACTACAGTAGTCAAAATGAAAGCATGACTGCAGATTCAGACACGTGAGGTTGTGCTGATGAGACCAAACAAGGCAAAGTAAATCGTTTTTAAAGGTGAAATGTGGAGAAATCATCAGAAGTAGTTAAAAATGGCCGATGACACCCTGGACCCCAGAGGGTTAAAATGTTTTTTAAAGTAACGCAATAGTTACTTTTCAAGTAATTAATTACTTTTTGAATCTTGTAACTCAGTTACTTTTTTGAAGAAGTAACTAGTATCTATAATTAATTACTTGTTCAAAGTAACTTGGCCAACACTGCTGATTTCTGATTAGCTGACATAGTCCAACGTCAGCGTCACTGCCTGCAGAGCTCAGACTGGGCTGTGTGGGACTTCAGCAGAAGGTTAAAGTTTCAGGATTTCTACAAAGTTCGTTAAAGCCAGCGTGTGCTGCTGAGCTTCTTCAGAGTCATCTCAGGCCATTAAACAGTGGCTGACACAGAATGGCTGCTGACAGCTGTAATTACGCCTTCACTCAGGATTAAATTGCAGAGTAACACATTCATGCTGTGTTTGGAGATCGCCCCATCAGTCGCCTTTCCTGCTCTAATCTTCAGATTATAGTGTGACAGAGGGCTGCTTACATTTAGCTTTAATTGGTTTTCAAGGAGTGTCTGCAGAGGCTCACGATCCGTCCATCAGACCGCTCTGAAGTGGTGGAAACGCTTCCCATCCATCATCCCCTGAGACAGCAGAGGATGGTTCCTCACTGCGATGACTCGCCGTCAGGGGACTTTAGGATTCACAGAGGTTTATCGTGGTACAGACAGCACAGAGGAGGCGGTGCTCCCAGCTCAGCAGTTTACAGCTGCAGGGTCACGGCGGACTCCTTAATCCACAGACAGAGTAGCTGCCGGGTCTGCAGTGGCTGAACAGACCCAACAGCTCATCCATCTAACGTCGCCCAGTCAGCAAACCATCAGCGAACCCTCGTGTCGTCGCGCTGCACGGATCGGCGGTGACTCTGAGACCCAAACCGGTCTGCACAGCCTCACAATGAAAATCCCGCATGACCAGAGCTCTTTATGTTGACAGCTGCCTCTGACAGAGAGGACAGAATGACTTCGGGGGCAGTCAGAGATAATGTATGGAGCAAGAGTTGGGGCAGAAATGAGTGTCCTTGAGAGAGGCGGTCATAAACGGCCCCACAGCTGACCCCTGACCTGCACGTGTGCTAATCAATAACTGAATACTACACATCTACAGATAATCAGTGGAACATGAGGCACGTTGTTCCCTACAGAAGAGGAAACATTAATCCACACTTTAAATATTTCAAACATTAAACCTCAGAGTACACAGCAGAACCAGGTGACCTTGTGTAATGTTTATGTTTTATAACTTTCTCAGATTTAATAAATTATTTAGAGATTTTATTCAAACATTGATGAATTGACTCGTTGATTTATACTTGAAAAGATTGTCGACTCTCATTTGACCCCTGCTACCAGCGGATTGATTAGCGGGTGTGTGCTTTCAGAGGGGCTCGAGGACGTCTTTGTTATCCCCAAGGAGCGATTTATTGTACAGTTAGCAGAAGCAGCAAACAACCACCAAGTAAAATGTCATAAGTAGACAAAAACAAGCAGTGCTGAGGAGAAACCTCGGGTTTCATTTTCTTCACTTAGTGATGAAGAGTGAGATGTTCATCCTGGGACTTCTGCACTGCGACGGTGCTTTACTCCTTACAGGGATGCATCTGCATGCAATGCAGCAAAGCTAACATTTAACAGCAGGTTATGTGAGTAAAGATCAGCAGAGGGCCGGCAGTTTGCCAGTGCTGCTTACTGTCTTTGTCTGGTAGTCAGTCAGCTTTGTTGTTTCATTTTTTAAATATATTGTTTATATATATTTAAATTTTACAACAGGATTATTGTTCCTTAAGTATTTCGATACAACCCTAAAACACTACAACCCAATGTTATTTGATTTTACTTTATTTCCTCTCAAACTGTTCAACAGCACTGAGGCTGCAGCTGAGAGAATGAACACTAAAGGTGTCTCTTGATGATTCATTTAATGAAATAATGATTGTAATCCATCAGATTGTCCTGTCTTAATGACAGAGGGCTGATATTGATCAGTCCGTTACCTCTGGCTGGCTTCTTCCCAGGTTTCAGTCTCACTTTTAGTAACGTGGAAGAATAATCTGATGTGCAGCGACTTTTCTTCTCACATGTCTGATTTCTCTGCAGCAGCTGTGCTTTCCTTCCTTTGTAACCTTTTCACATTTTTCATTCTTTTTATTCTTCTTTGGTAAATCAGCCGCTCGGCTGCAGGTACGAGCCCCTCACTTCACCTCTGCTTGAAACAAGCTGTTTTAGCTCCTCCCCTTTAAGTCCACATGTTGCTCATTGGTGGTCATGTTTTTGGTCTATGGCTGGAAACACTATAGAGAGGAATCAAAAGGTGCGATCAGTTTGTTTTGATTAGAGATGTGTTGATCAGAGCGCCGTTGGCTGGGTTTTCATGCTCAAACACTGATTGGACGTGCTACAGACGACATTTTTCAGAGTGAGACGCTCCGTTTCATAAATGAGAGCCCCGCAGAGAGAGAGATGTTACTGCTCTGGGTCCTCATCACAAACCCCAGGGTGGCTTATTATTTTAAAAAACGGGACAGCGATCCTGGGAAGATGAGTTATTACTGGGGCATCGCTTAAAACCAGTTTCATTGCATTTTTACACCAACTACCAGTCTGAGCAGTTAGAGGGTGCAGTGCAGACCATCTGTCATGTAACGTCTGAGTCACAACAATAAGATGGGTGCATTAGTCATGAACCACATGTGCATTACATTTGACTGTTTCCCTGCTGAGGACAGTAAATGGGCCTGACGTAGGCCTACCTGACCCCCCTCCGTGCTTCGTCGCAGGGCTGCTTCCACCAGCACATGAATCCGTTACAGCGAGCTCATCATCATCACTTTGTTTGTTTTGCCCGCTCGCTCACTCAGCTCGACAGCATCGTGGCCTCGTTCACCTGACCTGTGCTAAAACAAGCTTCTTATTGTGAAGCAGAATCACTGCTGAGGAGACGCCTTTCCACGGAAGCACCAAAGCACTGCCAACAACACCATGCTGGTTATTATGGAGGGCAGTCTTTAATGCTTTCCCTGCCTGGCTGGAGCTGCCCTGCAGTCTGAGACTCAAACACACCTGTAACACACATGGATGCACCTCAGCGCACAGATGTTCCAGCTGTGACCTGGAATGCTGGAAAAAATGAACACTAGTTTTTTCACAACTCTTAAAGAATATTTTAAAATGTGGATAAAAGGCTTTGTATGCAGCAGCTGATTTATGAGCTGCAGAGCTTCATCAGGGCTGAGCCAACACTGCCATCTACAGGAACACGGCCGCACTGCACCCGGCAGAATGAAGCGCGTTCCAAACTGAAACCTGTTGGTGACGTGTATCTGCAGGTTTGGGTTTTATTTGTCATTCATTTTAATAACAAACTCCTGAAAAACGATTTTCAATTATTTGAAGCAGGTTGGAAGATTCAGAAGGAACCAGACGCCTTTAAATCCCTCTTCTCCTCCTCCTTATCCTCTTCATCGCCTCGTAGCCTCTCAGCAGAGCAGCGAAGACGCCGGCGACCACTACGCTGACGCCCATCTGTGACCAAAGCAGCAGCCAAACTTTGAATACAAAGAAGCGTTAAATGAACGTGTTCCAAACCAAACGTACCGCAAGGAGAGCAAAGGGAAAGATCTTCCTCTGCTCCTCCTCCTCTTCGGTCTGGTTCTTCTCGCCTTCATCCCAAAGGGCCAGGGAGCTGTCGTAGTCCAGGCTGAGGACGCCGACGGGCAGAACCCGGATGCCCCAGTAAGCCCGTTTGACCCTGCGGTAGGCGGCGTCCTGCACGTCACAGCGGTACGTCCCTGAGGACGATGGAGGAGTCAGTCTGATTCGAGTTTCACTCTCACAAATATTTTCCTTTCGTGTAAGCATCACCACAGAAGAAGAGCTTTTACAGGTTAGTGACCCACAAATAAAGACGGTGTATCCCAGCAGAATCACGTCACTCCTATAATGTGGGTCTGACTGAGCACGTGCAGAGGTGCGCTCACCTGCATCCTCCTCTCTGACGGGGTCCAGAACCACTCGGTCCAGCTCGGGAGCGTCCCAGCGGGCGAGCAGAGCGTCGTCAGTGCTGATGATCCCTCGGGCGTAACGCCACGACACCCTGAGCCGTAAAAGAAGCCGACAGAGTCTGACTGAAGATCAGAATAAAATAAACATGGAATCTAAAACTGAAGGACGCGATGAGGGCCCGCCTTCGGGCAGGTTAGTCCTGTCGTCTCATTGTCCAAACGTCCCGTCTGGTCCAGCCGTCCCAAAGGTTGGTTTAAAACTGAGACCTCTTCCTCACCTCCAGGAGAACCTCCCCGTGGCCTCCATCACGTCTCCCACACAGTCAACCTCCACCCTCTGTCCGGATGTGACTGTCATGGTTTGGAGTCCGCACTGCCACGTGTCCATGCACTGCACCGCCCGGACGCGGCACCTCTCCGTCACCTGCAGGTCAAACACAGATGGTCACCATGTCCTCCTCTTCCTGTGTTCAGCAGTGTTGCGTCTGTACCTCTGCTTCACCGCCGCTCGGCAACTTCTCCTCCATCGCTGCCCTGCTGTCATTTAGGAGGCACAGAGTCTGAGTCCGGAGGCCCAGCCCACAGGTGGCGCTGCAGGGGGAGCTCTCAGTGATGACCTCCACTGGGACATTCTGCACCTCCTCCACTAGCTGCTCCACCTGCTGCGACTCAGCTGAGGTCAGAAGGCGGAGGAAGAGGCAGACAGAGACGAGGAGGCGGCGCTGAAGCCCGACGCTCTGCATTCTGAGGTTCGATGGGGAATCTGCAGAGAAGAAGAAACTTTGTTTTCATTTTATGATGAAGACACAACTTTTACTTTGAATCCTGACAGGAAGTTTGGTCACGATTTGTACAGTGGCTCAGAGAACCCAGCGTGGGTCACGTGCCAGAA